AGCCGCATGTGGAGTCATGACACTCCGGCGCCTCTGAGCTAGCATCACGAAGTAGTTCTTGGATAAGGTGTATGGTTAGAGTAAATGTATTAAAAAAATGTTTGTTTATTGATCAATGGATACGATTCAGACCAGTTTTTGTAGAGGAAGATGAGCGCTACAATTTGAGATACTACTCAAGCTTTTTTGAACCGTCGAAATGAAAATTGCCGATGATAAAGCAGAATCGAATCTTTTTTAAATCAGATACTTTTAGAGCCAGAACCATAGATATTTTATAGCCATAAAACATATTTTTCTGATAGAATTTGCTCGGGAAATTATGAATCTGGTTTTACGTTTGCACAAATGTAAAAAATAAACGAAGAAAATAATATTTTTGTCATATGGTCCATAGCTAAACACAGTATTTTAAAAGTGAATAATGGAAGAGTGCGTTTTGGAACAGATTAATCTTTTCTTAGATCTCTCTAATCAAAAGCTTGGAATTCATGGATCTTTCTAGTAAATTTTGGTTTATGTCGAAAAAGGCTTTCGTGACTTACAACAATTTTATTAAGTAGTGTCGTTTCACATGCCTATAACTTCAGGACGCATTTCCGAGTTTTTTGCAAGAAAAAAGACAAAACTTAAAAGTTAGTTACTGGTATTTTATAGAAAAAAAAATGTGCTGAACGACTAAAAAGTTCTATCCCAGATAAAATGCACTTCAGCTGTTTTTCCTTTTATCTCGTTTTAGGTTAGAATGACCCAAATTATTTTCAAATAGATGTTTATATTGCGAGAACAGCGAAAGCATCGAATTCTCGGTGCATTTAGATCAGCGTTTTCATCAACGCCAAACGATTAAAGCTTTTAAAAGCCTCTTTATTTTTGGTGTTTTAACACGATTTACCAACAATGTTTTATTCTTCGATTCCTCAATAATTTAAATATAGGACGCAATACCATGCTCCATGCACCATTTATAGTTTTTATTTCAATTTTAGTTATAGATGTTTATTTTTGTAATCTTTGCAATAAATAAAAGTATTCTATTTTTATGGAAACACTATCTTTGTATTATTTGTTATATATGTTTTTAGTGTCGTTTTAATAAAGACGTATTTGTCTTACGTAACTACTTTTTCGATTCAAAATGTAATAGTAAAAAATCCGAATTAAAATGCGAAAAAAATGTTATTTTATAAGTATTTTTCAGGCACATAACAGATCAAATAGATGATTTTAGTTCTCTGACGTTCTACAAAAAATACCTATGTCAATTTGCATGTGGAAAAATCGAAATCAAGGTTCGGAAAAATTAGTTTATTTCGCCTGAAAAAACTTTATAAAAAGCAGGAATGATCTTAAATTGTGTAAAAGTTCCAAAATGAACAATAAAAGACAAAAAAAGTAAGAAAAATCCAAGTAAAGAAAACTGGAAAACGTCTGCTAAGTCGGTATTTTAGTTTTTTATGAAATTTTTCAAATTTAAAGATGAGTTCAAACAATCACAAATGAAGGAAATTAACTATCTTTTTCTAACACCAGGCGGCCCCTAGAGAAATCAAATGAGTAAAAATATTGTTATTTGGCTCGCAAATTTTAATTAGAACTGATATTATCGTTGAGAATGCTTTGATGATGTGTACCTAATTATAAAACAAATGAACGCGAAATCAGTCGTTAAATCGTCGTGTTGCTAAGACAATAAGTCATAATGAATGTGTCATTTAACCATTAAAGAGAAAATCAATAAACAAGTCATTTGCTTTGATTATCAACGAAAATAATTAACAAAACATTTGCAGAGTTAAATAATAGACAAAAACTAATCTAGAAAAAGTCAAGAGCCAAAAGTTCGCGCCTGTCTTTGTTTATTCTAAACTAGCAATAAGCAAAGGTACGGGTAATGGTAAAAGGCGTCTCGAAACAGCGTCTCAGTTTGATGAGACAATGAGACATCAAGATCGTTTCTTGTACAATCTCTGGACGACAAAGATATCCATGTGATTCACTTGAGAGATCCCAGCCGTTTGTTCAAATGCTCGTGTGCAAATTTAATAAAAACATGTTCTTATGTAAGTAAAATTGATTATAAAAGATAACGAACTAGTAATTTTTAGATAATTGCTCTCAAAATGTATCTGAAAATGCCAATTAAAGAATCTGAGAAAAAAATTAATTCTGGTCGTGAACGAAAACGAGCGATTACTGAAACAAAAGAAGGTCAACCTGGACCAAAGCATCCTAGACGAAAGGACAAAGCAAGAAATAAGTTATATGAAGAAAGAGAACTTATTGAAAATTTGACGACATCACTATCAGCTGCACTGACATTAGCACCACCTCATCAACCTGTACAAGGTATTCGAAATGTTGTTTTAACCGCACCATCGTCTTCTACCGCATCAATCAATTATATTTTGCCTAATCCGACGTCACCGTTAATTCTAATTATTTAGATGTTTCTCTTCGACTATCTTCTCGTTCACAATCAGTTGCACCTTCATCTATCATGCGATCGGTTGATCAAAATTTGTCTGTACTTCCAGCTATCCGTCAAATATCATCCACAATACCAATTATCATTCAACCTTCTAGTTATAGTGTTAGCCCTCTCCCATCTATTAGTCCGCTGTCAAATTCCATGATTATCAAACTTTCTTCACCAAGAAGCAGTGTGCCAACCTCACAATCTGATACACAATAGTAGTCATTTTTTTTTTCTGATTTTTTAAACAGTAATAATCAAACAATTCATCTGCTAAATTGTGTGTTTTCACATTAGGCTTATTTTCATTTATTTGTTTTTGTTTTTTTGTTACGTATACTCTTCTTTCTCTGTTGTTAAAGGGATGACTCTTACTTATTGTCTCTGAGTTTTCTCAAAGCTTTTTGATCGTCTGTAATACAAAAGATAAATATTTGTCAAGAAAAATGCCCCTATGATACCACAGTCCGAGAGCTCCTATAATAAAGATATTTATTAAGAATACCCCTTTGTTATGACACAATTTTCAATTTTGATCAATTGATTTTCATTTTTTTTGGGATCTTGTTTAGAAATGTAGGTTTATGAATATAAACGGAAAGATAGTCGAACTTTGGGTAAATGTACAGATCTTCGTGTCATCATACGATCTAATTATCTGTTTTTAGTGTCAATCTATCATAAAATTACAAGTCGATTATATGAAAAAGACATTTATTATTCGGCTGTTAATAAATTTATACAAAAAGATATAAAAGATTTTATTATTAAAGATGAGCAGACTGTCAAACACTTATAGTGCTATAGATTCATTTCATTGAGGTCAATCTGGTGCTACATTATCAACTAATTCTCAATATCCAAAATATAAATTAGAACAAAAGTTACATGGAGCTATTGAACTCAACGTGAATACATTAAAAAGTGAAAAAGAAGGCGAGAAAGAAAAGCCATTTCCAACACTGTTTATTGTAACGAATTTGTATCTAGGGTAGAAACTGTATACACTACCAGATAAAAAATATGAAGTTCAGTTGATCGTTGGAACTGTAATAAAAGAATTGGATAATACTGATTTTCTTCCATCTGCACAAAAGTGCTACGACCGACTTGTTCTGATATATCGGAATCACATACCAAAAAGATTAGAAGTTTTTAGTGAGTATAGACCAAATTGAGATATTTTTGTTTATCCTGTTTTTCTCGTGTTACAGATTTGATTACATTAAAATCGTGAAAAGAACAGATTCAGATAACAAAAATTCCGATCAAAAAAGGTAAATATTCGTTTGATCCAGGGAAGCCATCCATCTCCCCTACGAGTGGGACAGTCCCACATTTGAAAGTTTGTCAGACTTACGGGCATTTTCTCCATCTCTGCTCACAAGTAGTTTTCGTTAGATTCAATTTTTTCGAAAAGCTTTATTTTGAACTTGTTTGTTTTTTTCCAGTGATGCCGGGAATAATCCACCATCTCAGCATGAAGATGACGATGATGCAGACTCTCGCCAAAATTCCAACTGCTCGTAAAAAAAGAATCGTTATCAAACAACACCACCTGACGCAGTACAACACACAAAAATTAGATGAAAAGAAATCAAGGGGGACAAAACTGATTTGAATCTGTAAAATCTCTCCAAATCTTTTAAAACATTGTTCAACTCCCTCCAAATCTGGGGGGAAAAAATTGATTTGAAGATTTCGAAGGATTTGCAGGGATATAAACAAAATTTTAAAAGATTTGGAGAGATTTTAGAGATTCAAATCAGTTTTGTCCCCCTTGAAAGAAATTGACAAGACCACCATTGAAAAAGGATGTACAACAGCAGCCAATGAATATGCGTTCAACGAATGATCAATCGGTAAACCAAAAGTTTCAGATGAAGTATGGACATCACAAACACAGTCACAAGATTATATCTTGTGCGGTATACATATTTTTATATGTGTTCGTCGATTTATTCTCAAGATAAAAACCATGTAAAGACGAGTGAATTGCGATCACTACATTGTCAAAAAAATTACTGGAAGACCTTATTATTCCGCAGCAAAAAAGCAAAACCTAAATTTTTGAACATTTAGGATTTCTTGAGCCTTCACAGATGAACTCAAAAATGTTTAGGATAGCCTATGTGGTAGTCATTGAAGCTCTCTATAGGATGAGGTATCATGCGAATCTTTTGGTTGAGTCGTCGTTTTACAAATGGGGCTGTAAGCTAGCAGAGTGGTTAAGGGAAGTCATCAAAAATAATGGAATGCGAAGAACGTAGGCGTAGACTATTCTACGTGCCGAAAAATCTATACGTATACTCATAGATTTTTCGACGCGAATCTATCGGCGAAAAATCTATAGTATATACAAATGAAGTTAAACTAGAATAAATCTTGCCTCTATATACAAAATAGTTTACTCTTCTATATACCAAATGCCGTTTTTTGACAAACGTTTGCTGGATGTTTCTGCTATGAAATATTACCAGTTCCCCTTAGAAATAATTAATATTTTTGTCAATTAGCCCTTTAATAGCCCGCCTCACGCTGAGTCATTTTCCACTCATTCGTAAAAATGATGTGGTGAAGTAACAAAGTATCAGATCAAAGGGCCTGTTGGACACTGTGTAGAGAATTTAACAAGCGATAGATTTATAAAAACTAAATATTTTTGCATCGCTTCTCGGCTACGATATTTAAATCTGAAAATAGTGAATTTTCAAAAAAGTTAAAGAGTTTGACTTTTTTTCAGTTTCTTGTTCACATCCACAGATAGATTACATTTGTTTTTTGACTATCAAATACCGATAATGGCAAATATGGCATAGAAGTATTTATCTAGTTTAAACAGTTTAAAGCTTTAATTTCACTCTCTTCACGAATTTGCCCAATTCATGCGCGCGTAATAAGTGTATAGTACTACATTTCAAAATAAATAAAGATTAAAACTTTTCTTTTTTCTTTCCTTTTTTCTCTTTCCTTCTTTTTCAAGGTTATTGAAGTTAAATAAACGCTTAAAACATCATTTCTTTTATTCCAGAAACAATTAGAAAAGAAAATCAAGCTCAATATACTCTATAAATTATATATAGAAAAAGTAGTATAAAATGAAGTGTTCTATAATAGAGGAATAGATGAATAACAGAAGAACAGTCGCGGGATAGTCGGGGAATAGAGGAATAGCGACCGACCGACCGGAATATATTTTGAAACGCTCCCTTAGTTTCCTGAAATTTTGATGTCGGATTTTTGACGCCTGAGGCTTCCTTCAGCATTTCGCAGAAAAGATTTCTCAATGGCTTTGACGAAACCATAGGATTAAATGCAGTTGTTAACACCGATCATGAATATAAGCGTTAAAATGGTAGAAAATGACATCTTTTAGGAGAAAATTGATTTTTACTACAAAATAGCATCACCTAGCTTAAGGCGGCCTTCATTCCACTATTACTTTTCCGTAAGCCCGAGTCCGTGAGCAAGTAATATTGTCCCGAACCTGTCTGTCCCTTGGAAACGGGCTTTTTTGTCCCATTCCGTTTCTCCTGTATTTTTTTCAAAATATTCTTCTGTTGTGATAACTGTTACAAGAGACGCTAAAAGTCTCAGACTTATTTTTGCAAAAAATCGGCATGACGAAATTTAAGCGTAATTTGTTTGATTCTAAAATTGAAGTTACTGTATATAAAAATGTTTTACATCCACTCAGTGACTATCTCAGAATCGAAAGGAAGGAACTGTGAACCTAGTTTTAGATAGGAAACATCTTCTCAAGTTTAAATCCAGACTATTTCACCTCCCCAGATTAATTTTTAGTTATTATAAATACCAGTCACTGTTCGAAATAAAGTTGACACTAATTTTTTCAAGATTAATTTTTACATTCAATAAAAATTTCAGAAACTAGATTTGACTTTGTAAAACATACTTTGTCATAATGCCCTCAAAAAGACCGATGGGCAAAAATACTATATCTATTTCTATGAAATGATAGGATACGAAACATTAAATAGGTCATAGAAACACAGAACAGCAAATTCTCTATCTATTTATGCAAAACAGTGGCGCTTTTTCATTTTCACCAGCAGAAACGAATAAAAAAACGAGTTTGTACTACCTCGGATGGACTTTAAAGAGCGTTTTTTGACCGTGATCGCCTCTGCTCTTTACCGACATCCTAGATCTGCCACTGATGTACACAACTACACGGGAACTCTGTAAAGAATATATCCATTCTTCGCATTATTTTCTCTTTTCTTCTTTAGCGAATTCTCTCATTGTGTGCATCTATCGTTATTTCTCAGTAGTTATCTATATCTTTCCTTAGTATAGTTCATGACCTCTTATCTCACTTCAAAGATTTTCTGGTTTCCACTCAACATTTTCCTGAACTCTCTCTCTCTCTCTCTCTCTCTCTCTGAAGGGAGAACGTTCATCTCCAGGAGAATTTTACTTTTTCGCGAGAATTGCAGTCATTTCCACAGAAATTTTGCTTTCTTCCACGACAAATTTACTCCACTACACGGGACATATAAGGACGGGGTACCCTTTAACCCGCTAAGAGATATTGAAAGCGATTGTTATCATTATGCTTAGAATTGCTTCAAACCCCAGGACATTGAAGGGTTTTCTCGACTTTTACAATTTTCTTTCGATCATCACGCACCTACTATAAAAGCGCTCGTTTCCACGTACAACTGTTTTATTCGTTTTGTATGCTGACCAATAGAAATTCAAAATG